GCAGTCAATTAATTTCTATTCTCATTGATTCACCCTGATGAAATTTATTCTAATTCGACGTCAGAAAATAGTTGCACCCAAAATTTACGTATTGCATTTAAATTGTGTCCCACTAAGTTTTCGTGAATATGTAGTATAACCAGTACATTAAAATGTGATTGATATATTATTTCCAGAGAGAACAGGAAACATACATGAGACGAGTTATGAAAGTGCAGAATGCAAGAGATATATAATATATGTACAAGGAGGTAGAGGTCTTCGGCACTTGATTCTATCTGCCTACTCCGCTAGAGACTTTGCGTGGAGATAGATTTTTTTTGATGGGTGAAAATGGTATGGTAATCCCGCCTGCGCTAACAGGATACGGTTACGGAGCACCAGTGAAGGATGATAGATGAGAATGAAAACAGGTCAGTTAGCCCATCATGATGAATTCATCAAGAATTAACCATGATAGTTTCCAGGGGGAACCGCGAGAAGTTCGACCTGGTTGGATATATTGCTAGCAATAGGATTCTCAGTCTCCATTACTAACAATCCCTTTCCCCCTGGAGATAGATATAGATAGATTAGAAGATAAATACTATTTGCACTTTTTTTAGTTTTTCTCACAATCTTATAGGTTCAAAAAGTTAATTCGATTTCAAATTATCCTCATTGATTTTTTTTTAAATTGCAAGGTTCAGAAAGTTGTTATCTGGAAAGAGAAAAGCCTGCAAAAAAACTCAACTTTTACTTTTTTAAGTCTCTGTTAACATTATGTGTATTTATTTAAATGTACGATGCCTACAATTACATGGTCGTTAAAAGCCCGTGCATGATCAACTAACACCATGCACGTTTGTTATTCAAGTAATAGTTTAGTGTGTAATAGGTTTTGTTCAATAAGTGTTTTTAATAACAGTTTTAAACTTATTAAAAGGTAGACCCAAGATATACTTCGATAGGTATCTTATTATTACACTTAATATAAAATTTAATTTTCGAAGTAGGTTATTTTAAAAACTTTCGTCTACTTAATAGACCCCAGAGAATGGACTTACCTCTTGTAAAAAAAATGGAAACTTCATCTTCAATTTTAAAGCACAGGTAATACCAATTAGGACGTGATAGTCTTCGGTCACGTTAACCAACTTTATCATATTCGCTGCGTAATGCACTGGTTGTTTGGTTTTACCAATGATTAATTCAGTGTTTTCCTCACTAGCCATAGTGCATACACTTGGTTTACCAAACACTTTATAATAAAACATGTCTATAGGGCAACATTTACTAATACATCTCCCATTTTTACACATACCACTTTCTCTCACGGGTATTTTAAATAAATCCTTAGTATTGGCCCAAGCATTGTTTGTTACAATCAAAATGCTAACACGCACTTCCAAATAAATTATAAATATTACAATCTTTGAAACCATTTTGCTTTTTAACTTTTCATGTAATTTATAAGTTAATCTTCTAATACTAAACCTTATGAATTCACTTTATAATAATTTTCAATTTATGTTGTGGCTTCTTCATACACTTTCATTAATTAGATTTTTACTGACACTTAGTTCCACAGTATTAAAACCCAAATCGTTCCGTACTACAAAACTGGTCAAAATTTCAAAAGAAATATTATGAAACTAATATCATGTTACAATGAGTGAAACTTTTTTATTTAATTGCAAAATAATTATCAATGCAATAAATACAAGACCTCGTATAACGATATGGCGACTGGATTCAGGTGCAGCTTTTAAAATGCACCATTACTACCAACAATTTTTAATTAATTTTGTACTTATAGAAGTGCCTGATAGCAGGCAATAAATTTACAATGCCATCTAACTAATTAACTTCACGTTATGTAGCTTTTATCATATTATCAAAATTTTAACTCAAAAATTAAGTTTATAATCTAGAAATTATTTGAAAATTAACTATTGTTATTTTTAAAACTTATATTAATTTTGTATTCGATGTATATATACGCAAATATATATGTCTCTATATGTATGTAGCTATATGTCTGTGATGCAAAGCACCAAACGCCTCCTGAAGAAGATCCGGATGAAGTCGAAAAATTATCGGAAACGGAAAAAACACGTATAGTATATTTTATTATTATTATTTCAGCCCTTAACTGTCTACTGCTGAACGTAAGCCTTCCTCATAAGGGGAGTTTAGCAAATAGTTGCCACGTTTGGCAGGCCGGTTGGCAACCGCAGTTAGGCTATTACAGATATTTTAAAAGGGACGCTGCTGCCCATCCCTCCACCATAAGCTCCCTTAGTTGCCTCTTACGATACACACGGTAAAGGAAAAGATGGCCCATTCTATGCCGAGGCTGACACGGCGGGTATATATAATTTATGTCTATATAATATATAGACATGAATTATTGTCATGGTAGTATTATTAGATCTAATTTTTATGTTGCTATTTGTTGTGCCCATTGATTATATGAAGCTAAGAAATTAATATATTTTTATATTAGAATGATCTGTAGGTACTCTTTAGTTATTAAGTTAATTATTTTCCCCATTTATTTCGATCTCTTTCTTTCTAATACTTGTCTTATCTAATAGACAAAATGATTTAAGAAATATCATGCAACGTCTTCAGAATCTTGCGCAGTTATACAACATGGATTATTAATCTAATTTATTTCAAATACCTTACCTCCTAATTACTTACTTTCGTCATACTCTCATGCTTAACCAGTTTTAATCGATTTGGATGGAACTAGGAGATTATATTTTGAAATCCAAAGATAGGATGACATCATCAAATATTTCTCTCAAATGTACCTTACTCTTATCATCAGTCTATACAGGAGGCTCAAACTTCTTGGTATTTTTCAATCTATGTTTTTTGGAAATGTGTTCAGTTTTCTACTTTACTCTGTACGGAGTGAAATCGATTTCCTAACGATTTCATCATTTGAATCCATATAATACCATATCATCGGTAACACTCTCTTGATAGGATACTCAGAGGGAAAGGGATTGTTAGCAATGGAGTTTGACAGCCCCATTGCTAGTAATATGCCCTATCAGGTCGATCTCCAGGTGGTTCCCCCTGGAAACCATCGTGAACAATTCTTGTTGAATTCGTCACGATGGGCTAACTGACCTGCTTCATCCTCACCTATCATCCTTCACTGGTGTCCCACCGGTGTATACCGATAGCGCGGGTGAGGTTACTATTTCATTATCACCCATAAAAAAAATTGGATACTCAATTAATTTTTCAATTTTACCCATAGAGATAGAAAAATATATTTTTTTATACAACTTAGAATGGCAAATAAGCTGACGGCCCACCTGATGGAAAGTGGTAACCGTCGCCTATAGACATGAGCAGTAGCATGGACATAACAGAGAATACTGTTTCGCCCATGATACCCCCCATGCGTTGCCATTCCCGAGGACTCAGGTGTTATTCCTCCGTACCCAGTAAATTCACGCCATATCCCACCCTTCAAACCGAAACACGGCCATGCAAACACAACTGCTTTACGGTTGAAACACGAATGGGACAGAGGTACCCAAGCAATCAACTTCTGTACAAAGTCTCCCTCTGGTAAAAAGTAAATATATAAAAGTACCTACCTAACTCTACATAGTTAATATGGTAACCAGGTAATGGCAAATTATCATGTAAATTACTTCACAATATAGTGATGACCATATAAATTTAACGCCCAAGTGACCGCAATTACCTAAAGTCGCTTACCCCGAGCTCGTATACTTCCGCCCAAATTTATGAAGTGTTCAAATTAAATGGTCCGCCGTATTTACAATTTGGTAATGCATTAGAAGAAGGCATGTTTATTAGCTAATTAGTCGACGTTTTAATCATTCATGACTTTAGGAATTAGCGATATTAGTTTTACAAGACACTTCTTTAAGAGATTCTAAATTCGAATCGAGTCTAAATATCCAATTTTTCAGTTATATTTAAATCCAGTAAATAAAATAATAACACATACATTTCTCCTTAAAATCCCTCTCAAAATTCATTTACCTACTTAAAATTTAAATCTGGAAAGAGCTGGAAAAAATTATAGTCTATACAAATCCCTTTCAAAAACATAATATATCAAAAAGTGCCAAGTCTCGCAACGCAGTTCTTCTACTACAAAACAAATATTTCAGTTAGTGTCTATGGAACAACCACAACAACAACCTACAATGCTAATATTTTTTTATAAATTTGTTAACAACGTTTATAGAACCAAAACACCTTTGTTTCTATAATAATTTTAAGTGTAAGTAAGCACGGCAATTTATTCTACTAATTAAATATTATTTCTTAAGTGTACTGTTTAGATTTACTTTATAATTTTGTATAAGATGGTGCCGTGCAATATAGCAATGTAGCCAATTATATATGTCCTCTTGATCATTAAAAATTAAAACTTCTTGCTTTATCCACAATTTAGTTATAAAGGGGTCAAAATTGCCTAGTGTCGCTTCGAGAAGAAGATGGCACGACTGTGCTGGACTTGGTGGAGACACTACCATGCTGCTGATATTGTAAATAGGATGATTTAATTTTGTGTATATTTGTTTGTAATGGATAAACTAAAAACTACTCAACCTATTTTAAAAAATCTTTTACTTTTAGAAAGCTATTATCATCGAGTAACATGGACTATATGTATATTATTTAAAAAATTAAATCCCTACTAAAATGATAATACCCAAGGTATCAAGAATCAGCCTATTAAAGCTACTATAAAATATTAATTTCTTTCTATCTAATTACCTGTGCGAAACCGGGGCGAATCGCTAGTCATTGATATTAATTTTCACAATAATTATCACAAATAGTACTTATAATTCTCACCCATTTTTCATTTCGGAGGTAAAGTCAAGCTGTTCAATAAGCCACGTGACCATGTCAAGGGTCCTTATGTAGAACAAGAGTGACTTAGGATTTTTTAATACCAAAGTACTATCACCTCCATACGAATAGTAATAGGACATAAAAATTAAACGAAATGCATGAAAATTTCCATTTTAATACTGTTAAAATTCAACAATATAAACATAAGAAATAAAGACTATTATACACAGAAAGAAATAAACATTAACAAATTATATTACAAATATTAAAACTAAGAACTGGATAAGGGCCAGCGCTCACTGACGTGAGGCCACTTTATATGATAAGAAAAAAACAGTAAATGAGTTTTTAGACGATGACCGTCGTCCTTTCTTTACTTTTATTTGAATAATTGTCTACAGGGATAACAAACAGGAACGATTGCTTATATATTAGTTGTATCCCATAATTCGGTCTATTTGTGTACTAAATTTCAGTCAAATACATTTGACAATTTTAGCTAGACCGAATGACAAAGATTCATAGTAACCATTCATACATCTTTATAAACTTTTACTCTGGCCGTTTAGAAGACTTTATTGTTTATCTCGTTCTATGCGAGCGAGAATGACAAGTAAATATTTCCGCAAGAGGTTTTTTTTTTTTACAACACTGGGGACAAACAAGCATGCGGCTCACAACTTAAGAATTTTTTTTCCGACTTTAAGAAGCTCGAACTTCTCGACTGAATGTATGTTGCATTCTAAATTTATTTCCAATAATTATTTTTTCATTTAAGCATTTACTACCATAATAGTTCTACAATAATTTTGTCAAAATTTAATATGGTTATTTTCTGTATTTTAAAATTTAAAATTATTAGAATTTGACCAATATCTAATTTTTATGGAAATAGCTATTACTTACAAAACATAATTCACAAAGCCAATTTTACTATACAGTGACTTAAGAATTTCAAAAGTAAAAAAGAAAATGACATTAGCGTTATCTGTCGATATATCAATGAGCGCTGGCCCTAAGAAACAGCTGAAACTACAAGTAAATAAATGCTTTCATATTAAGTACAAAATTATTATATAGAATTTTATATAAATTTATTATAGTTTCAAACCGTGAAAGCTTTTTATGCTGAAGCGATTTCTATTTTGTCATGATAATGTGCGTTATACAGTTCTAAAGCCCTAACCAATAGCAGTATGCTCCACGCATTTTTTATTCGCCGATCCTGAAATGCCCTTTTCTAAACTTAAAAGTCCCAAATTAGAATTCAGAACTGTTTCTAAAGTCTGCAGTTCTAATTCTATCGGTAAAATAAAATTTAACATATTTAGAGACAGGTTTATATGATGACATTTCAGAAAGGACTCCATTTTCTTCTTTAATCTATTTTCTCAATAATTCATAAATTAAAATCCCACCATTAAAAATTTTATGTAAATGTAAATGTGTCAATTTAGAGACAGTCCTAAGAGTCAATAGACGTTACATTATTAGAAATGAGTCTTATATCAATATGGCATTATATATTACAATAAATAAGTAATGAATACATAGAGGAGTAAGACGACTTTTAGAAGGTACAAACAGTACGACCTATTCACACTTAATTATAATACTAATAGAGATCTACACAATCATACCTATTAACACAATACACTCACTCAAATTTCTACAGCATCAGGGAATATATGATCTAAATATGACTGATTATAGTTCTGCAAAGGTTTTGGTCTCACTTTCTTAATAGACCTGTCTACCTCAGAACTATTTCGATTGAATTTTGAAGCAATTTCTCTAACCTTTCCCGGTCGTGGTCTGCAATCATCATTATCCAATTTCACGTTGCTCCGATCTTTGAATACGTCAAACGATCTTTCCGCTTCTTCTTCTGTCGTAAGACTCTTATGTATTCTATCCTCATCAGTTCTTGAACGAGCCGAAGCTCTCTTAGCGTCGTTTCGAACATTGTTCCATTCTTTATCTTGATTCCCTTTGCTATATCTATCCTTTTTACCAGAATTATTCCTTTCATACATACGAGAATAGTTTTTTGAACTTCTGTTTTCGTTGTTTCTAACATTTTGTTTAATATCAATGGTTTCTTTCAGGTCATTTCCTCTGGCGATACCAAAGAAAGGATCTTTGGAGTATTCTATATCATTATTAGTCTTGCAAACAAAACTTTGTTCGAATGAATTGACCTTTGATTCCTTATGTCTATTAGATCTTCTCGCTTTTGGCGGTCCGGCCTTAAACGTCGAGAATCTATTTTCGTTATAATCATTATTGTTAATTTCATTACTAGTTGCTATTTTCTGCGGGTCGAAAGCGTGCGTTCTTTGGTGTGTTAGGGGCTTAGACAGTGACAAATACTTAGGCGGTTCCCCGTTCTTATTTATTGTTAATTCATATTGAATGTGCGGGTCTAGGACCGCATATACATTCTCTTTGGCTTCTCTCTCCAGCGACGACAATGCAGCCTAAAAAAATATTTTAAATTAATCATTTTTAAATTTAAATATCTATTAATTTTGGATAGTAACGTGTAGGTACTAGTGTACTGTGCGTATGCTCACAAAAATTATTTATATGTTAATCCCTTAACCACTCAAGCCGTGCAACGTGCAAAAACACTCAGATTAATTAAACGACCTTTAATATTAAATCAAGTGGATAGCTGGAAAGTGGACTTCTCTATAAATATGAGCTTGACTAATTTGCTCGAGTACTGAATGATGTTAAAATGTTTCATGTGACATGTTTATGAAGAGAGATATCAAATATAAATTCATTATTTATGCACATCGTACATTTCAGTTTCGGGAAATTAATATTCGAGATAAAAAACAGAATTTGCTCGCATCTAAGTTTCTCAACTTTGAATTTCAATAATTATTATTTCTATTGAATATTCATAGTTTTCCTAAACCTATAAATAAATAGTAGATAATAATCTATCTATTATTTAGTGCACGAACAGATATGTCGTTCCATAAATTCATTAGTTTGATGGCACATAACACCTTATTATGTCCTTGACACTGTTATATGATAATTGTAGTAGTATATTTATTTATTTATAGACAGATACAATATAGTATAATGTATAATATAGACAAAATAAACATTGACAAATGTTTTTTTAAAACAAATTGATATATTAGTAGATATTGATGCTTCGAAATTTGATCGTTAACGTACTAAGAGCAAACCGTGTAATATTTATTCCTACTGAGACATTCGAAAAAAATAGGGTTGTCACATTAACTATGAAATACATAGCTGTTGAAACCGTCTGGCAATAACCAAGCCGTTTTAGATACAATGACCTCATTTAATATTAGCAGGAGTACACATTACAATGATACTTAACATATGTATCAATCACTGTATAGGAGGTTTTTTTTTTATATTTTACAAAGCTTACGAGATTAGGTTATTTGATAATTTCCGTGATTTTTTCTAGATGTATATGTAGTGTCGTCATTTTCCTACGACATATACAATTTTAAAACTACCTTTTGTGTGAATACATACTTAGAGAAAAAAATTAAGACAATTTTCTTCTCTAAATACGTATTCTGATTTTTCTAAGTATATAAGACTAATTGAATAATATTGGATTGAATTTGGTGATGACATAAACGTGTTTAAGGCAGCTTCCGTGACCTCAGAATTGTGTGGTGAACGTTCCACATGTCCGAAAGTGTATTTTTAAGGGACCGAGTCCTTCTAGAAAAGAATGTACGCCAATAGTGTGATCACCGTTGGGTACAGGCCAGTTAGTGGGTGTGTTAGTAGTGAGTGCAGACCTGTGCATCACACGGTGGTGGGGGGCTGCAGCACCACGGCGGCGCGCCGCACCTGCAGCGCGGCGGGCGAGTAGCGCGCCGCCGACGCGGCGGCCGGCCGCGGCGCCGCCGGCGGGGGCGCGGCCACCGCCGCGGGCCGCGCCGCCGCCGTCATACCACTCGTACGCGGGCTGTACACCGCGTCCGCGGGCAGGACAGTCTTCTCACTGGTGACATTTCACCTTATTACAATCTGTTTCAATAGAACTTAATCGGTTTGAAGGGTGGGATATGGCGTGAATTTACAGGGTACAGAAGAATAACATCTGAGTCCTCAGGAATGGCAACGCATGGGGGGGTATCATGGGCGAAACAGTATACTCTGTTATGTCCATGGTACTGCTCATATCTATAGGCGACAGTTACCACTTTACATCAGCTTGTTTGCCATTCTAAGTTGTATAAAAAAAAAACTGTAAACAAATGAATAAATAATAAATACCACTGTGTTAGGTTAACTGGAAGAAATCTCTTTTAGAGATAAGTTCACCTTTGCTAACATTGTTATTAACTTATTGTTGTTACTGTATGCTTTAGTGCAATGAAGAATATATATATAACTATCCCGACCACAAACAATCTGATATTAGTAGAATACATAAAAAATGTATCATCTAATTAATTAAATGTTTCGATTTATTATTAGTTTTATTAATAGAATGTTTCAGTGACAGTTTCATCTCGTTCATCTTTTCACTATTACACTATTATTATTGTTTGTTAAATCCTTAGATTGAGTCGTATTGAACAAACTTTTACAATTAGCTCTAACTTTTACCATGTATTATTATAAGTAACAAATTTCATTGACGGCGACTTGCTGGCGGCTCCATGTTGACGTATAGATGGTAAAATGGCGATCAAGGTCACTGACATTTGTATACTTGGCTACATTGATTTAATTTCTACTGGTCTTTATAATGACAAACATATATTATTTTATAATATAATATAGAAAAATAATATTTATATATAATTGTACTCACCTATCTAAATCATCAGTCTTGTATTCCACGCTTTCTGTAAAAAATAATAATTAATTATTGAAATCACTTGTAAATAAATTTATACACAGTAAGAATTAAAGAAAGAAGGAAATATTTTTATTCCAATAAACTTAGATTTAAGTATTTTTGAGTAGTCACGTTTTTCATTATTTTATCTTATTTTATATTCCATTCGGAACAAAATTTTAGCCAAAAAGAACTAAAAACAAACTCAGCTTTTTTTCAACAAGTGTAATTACATTTATACATAAGAATTTGTGCGAATACAAACTTCTAGGCTGTATCAGATCATAAAATTTACAATATATTATAGTATATATTATAATATAATTGAAACACAATGATTGTAATTTAAAATATAGTAATATTTTAATACAATTCTACTTTATACTATACATTATAACTGTAATTCTAAATCTAAGATGTATCTCAAGAAAGAGCTCTAGACCCAATACTGTATATTCGTTCGTTTCATCGTAACTGTGACGTAGATAATTCTACAAAATCAACTATTTGAATGAATGAATATTTATTTGTAAAAACTATTTTCACTAACACTATTTTCATTTTTATAAATGACAGACACTCTATTTTTATGTCAAAAGATATTTAATTATCTTCTGTAAGAGCATTTAAAGTTTTTTTTTTTTTTTTTTTTTTTTTTTTTCTTCTGTAACAAGCATTGACGGCCCAAGTTACTAATACATGAGCAGCCATTCAGAGTATACTGTTTCGCCCATGATACCCCCCATGCGTTGCCATTCCTGAGGACTTAGGTGTTATTCCTCTGTACCCTATATATATATATATATACATACATACATATATATATATATATATATATATATATATATATATATATATGTATGTATATATAACTAAAATTAAAATACTTGACGCTGGCCGAAATGGTGGTAAAAATCAAGACCGCTTACCATTGAAGAAAAGAAAAGAAAGAAAAAAGAAATACCTCTCCGGCGACGACATCTCAGAACTAGACATAGCACGAGCACCAACAGCGCCGCGATGACCAGCGCCGCCGCGATCAGAGGCGCCACGTGCGCCGTCTCTGTTCCAACAGTCGCTGTTTTTAAAAATAGAAAGTATTGCTGCACGTTTTATTAGTCAAACTCATAAAACTCTTAAATAGATTCTTGTTTACTTTTTGCTTTCGAAACAAAAATACACTGCAAGATATGAACGTATAAAATTAATAATTAGTTATTATGTCGTATCCGAGAGTGCTATTAAATCTCTCTGTAAGACACAAAATTACATTTGCCAATAAAAAGAATAAATAATATTGTCGTTCTAATGGAAGATTTAAGAATCACACACAGTAAATTCTATACCATTTAATTTTGGAGACGCTATATATATTATAGTTTGATGTATTTTAATAAAATTGTAAAATTTGCAGTAACTAATAACTTTATGTATCCAAATATGAACGTACCATGCACGCCGTTACGATTAATGTCTTTTAGCCGATTCTACATAAGAATTAGTCCAGTCCCACACACTCTAAATCGTCCACAGATCCAGTGTGTACTCGCTCTAGAACGTAATGCGCACGATGAGGAGAAGCCGCGCCCGTTCCTTACATGCATCACGTACATAGCTTCCGATCGCATCCATCACACCAGCTCTAGGTGCTCTTAGTATGAACATACCATATATGTTAAACGAGACGGTGTGCAAGAAGAAGCCGCGCTCGTTCTCTACGTACAACACGTAGATAGAACCTGTCCAAGCCTGTCACGCTAGCTCTAAGTGTTCTAAGTATGAACGTACCATGGACTACGAGCGAGATGGCGTGCGAGAAGCCGCGCTCGTTCTCCATGGGTAACACGTAGGTAGATCCTTTCCGCACTTGTCACGCTAGCTCTAAGTGTTCTAAGTATGAACGTACCATGGACTACGAGCGAGACGGCGTGCGAGGAGAAGCCGCGCTCGTTCTCTACGTACAACATGTAGATAGAACCTGCCCGAGCGTGTCACGCTAGCTCTAAGTGTTCTAAGTATGAACGTACCATGGACTACGAGCGAGATGGCGTGCGAGGAGAAGCCGCGCTCGTTCTCCACGTGTAGCACGTAGGTAGAACCTGTTCGCGCCTGTCCCGCTAGCTCTAAGTATTCTAAGTATGAACGTACCATGGACTACGAGCGAGACTGCGTGCGAGGAGAAGTCGCGCTCGTTCTCTACGTACAACATGTAGATAGAACCTGCCCGAGCTTGTCACGCTAGCTCTAAGTGTTCTAAGTATGAACGTACCATGGACTACGAGCGAGATGGCGTGCGAGGAGAAGCCGCGCTCGTTCTCCACGGGTAGCACGTAGGTAGCACCTGTCCGCGCTTGTCACGCTAACTCTAGGTGTTCTAAGTATGAACGTACCATGGACTACGAGCGAGACGGCGTGCGAGGAGAAGCCGCGCTCGTTCTCTACGTACAACATGTAGATAGAACCTGCCCGAGCGTGTCACGCTAGCTCTAAGTGTTCTAAGTATGAACGTACCATGGACTACGAGCGAGATGGCGTGCGAGGAGAAGCCGCGCTCGTTCTCCACGTGTAGCACGTAGGTAGAACCTGTTCGCGCCTGTCCCGCTAGCTCTAAGTATTCTAAGTATGAACGTACCATGGACTACGAGCGAGACTGCGTGCGAGGAGAAGTCGCGCTCGTTCTCTACGTACAACATGTAGATAGAACCTGCCCGAGCTTGTCACGCTAGCTCTAAGTGTTCTAAGTATGAACGTACCATGGACTACGAGCGAGATGGCGTGCGAGGAGAAGCCGCGCTCGTTCTCCACGGGTAGCACGTAGGTAGCACCTGTCCGCGCTTGTCACGCTAACTCTAGGTGTTCTAAGTATGAACGTACCATGGACTACGAGCGAGACGGCGTGCGAGGAGAAGCCGCGCTCGTTCTCCACGTGCAGCACGTAGAGGCGCGCGTCGGCTGCCGCCGCGCTGCTCACCACCAGCGCGTACCGGTAACAGCCGCCCGCGCCCGTCGCACTCGGCTCCAACGCACGAAACCGACCTGCCGGTTTATTGATATTTTTAAGTGCTGTCTCCACAAACCTTGTTCTTGGGGGAAAAGGGATTGTTAGTAATGGGATCTAATTGCCATACTAACAATATAGTCTATCCAATCGCCTTCCACGCGGTTCCGCCTAGAAAACCATTGTGATTATTTTTTGTTAGATTCGGTACGATGGGCTAACTGACCTGCTTTCATCTCCATCTGTCATCTCTCATTGGTACTAGTGTATACTGATAGCGCAGGCGGGGTTACTAATCCATTATTACATTCATTTTCCATTAAAAAAAAAGACTTATTCTTTAAAAAAAAATTCATTATTCAACTTGTGGGCGACAAAGGAAACCAGGGAGAGAAATTGGAACTATATGTATAATGGACAAAGGAACTTAGAAAACTAAGGCAAGCCAAAAGGAAACAATAGGTATGCGTGTCAATTTCGAATTTGGTAAATAATAATATATAGCTATAAATAATATGTGTGGCCTGTACTCCACAAACTCAAAATAGCAACGTACTAACGTGACTCATCTTAATTGAAAGCGATAACAGTGGTGTGCTTTATACGCGTACATATGAATATAAGACAAAATATGTTTAACGTATTATGATATATGCATCATATCAGCCGTTATCTATCCGCTGCTGGACATAGGCTTCCCCCATAGACTGCCATAAGGAAGGGTCCTGAGCCATCTGTCCACTGACTCCCTGTAATATATTCGTCGTTACTTCATGTAGTAAAGAGTCGTTCTACATTGTTTGCCATGACGGGGTCGTCAATCAAATATCTTTCTTCCACATCGGTTGTCAGTTCTTTGAGTTATTCAATCGAAGAAGATTTTTATTAAAAATGTTCAAGTAATAATATTTATTGTTTCTGTCTACCCTAATGAGAGATAGGCGTAACAGATATATATGTATTTTCTCAATTTTAACGTTTTTATATTATTTTAATTTGTAAACAGGTTCCTTACCTATTTGCGAAGGCACATCAAGCCGTAAACTACCCCACAGCCATACAGCCTTCCGTGGGGGCGGATCGGCACAAATGGCAACGTGTAGTCGTGCCTCGCCACCAGTCCACGCGTGGGCCGTGCCCGAGCCCACTTCCGCGCCCACCGGTGGTCCCAGCACGTTTAACGTTATTGGCTCGGACTGATGCGTCCTGAAATATTAATTTAAGCGTATTTGTCAAGTCTTAAAAGGTACCACATAGATAATTTCTCTAATAAATATCAGCTAGTCTGTTTATTGTTGCCTCTAAAAATCTTAACGGCTAAACCAATTTCCATGAAATTTAATATACATTTATGATGTATATTTTTGTGATGGAGAAGAAAATAAGCTACTATTCATCTAGATCAGTTTATATAAACCGATCATGCGGACAAAGTCACGGGTAAAAGCAAGTTTGCCTATAAAATTACAATCAATCGATCATCATAAAAAATCTTACCAGAAATATGTAATCATGTACTACAAGTGTACTAAAATTGAAATCGTATTTTCTTTCCCTTAAGTAATAGTTTTTTTTTTTTGTATTTTTCCAATTTGTTAAATCTTAAAATCATAAAACGAAATTTCTAATGTAAGCAGTATATTCATTTATTTTAACATTTATTATATAAGTAGGTAGGTATTATATGTATTTATAGTGTATGTATTTATGTAATATTTTATTATATATTTTAATATTTTATTTAACTGTATATTTGTTTATGTATTAATAGTTGTAGCACTTTAGCTGCCCGCTAACGAAATGCTTTCTTACTGTACTGGGTTGACTAGAAGAGATCTCTGTCAGAGATAAGTCCACTCTTGCTCACAACATTATAAATAGATTATTTTATATGTAACTTACAAGTACAATAAATATTAGGTAACCGCACGCATAGTCCCCAAAATACAGGTCTGACCTAGTTTGGGGACTGATGGTAATGCAGACTTTTTCTCGTTCAATATAAATTGTAAAAATTATAATTTGTACTTTATGCAATTGTATCTCACTTGAATAAAATTATATTATTATTACTAGCGGCCCGTCCCGACGTCGCACGGTTGGACATTTTTACATTTTAAAAAGTGGCCATTAAGGCTGCACACGCGTCGGAAGCTTAAAAATGGAGTAACTTCTCCCGTTTTCCCAACATTTTCCTTCATTGCTCTGCTCCTATTGATTGCAGCGTGATGAAAAGTATACTATAACCTGCCCAGGAGTATGAAGAATAATTGTACCAAGTTACGTTAAAATCTGTCGAATAGTTTTTGTATCTATAACGAACATACAGACAGACAGACAAAAATTTTACTGATTGCATTTTTGGCATCAGTATCGATCACTAATCACCCCCTGATAGTTATTTTGGAAATATATTTCATGTACAGAATTGACCTCTCTACAGATTTATTATAAGTGTAGATTATCCAATTCTTTCGTCACTATCCGGTCTTACCTCTCTTCCGTGCCGATTTGATTGGCAGCAACACAGGTGTACCGTCCGTGCTGTGAGTACGACACGTTTTGCAGCTGGAGCTGTGGTGTCGTTGACAATGGATAGCCATCTGCGGGCGCTGCTAGTTGTGCAGGAGATCCTGATGGACTGTAAGCAATACTGCTACTTGTAATACATGTCACCAGAGGGAGACTTTGTACAAAAGTCGTTTGCTTGGGTACCTCTGTCCCATTCGTGTTTCAACTGTAAAGCAGTTGTGTTTGCATGGCTGTGTTTCAGTTTGAAGGGTGGGATATGGCGTGAATTTACAGGGTACAGAGAAATAACACCTGAGTCCTCAGGAATGGCTACGCATGGGGGATATCATAGATGAAACAGTATACTCTGTTATGTCCATGGTACTGCTCATGTCTATAAGCGACGGTTACTACTTTCCATCATGTGGGCCGTCAGCTTGTTAGTCATTCTAAGTTGTATAAACAAATGTATTTCTTATGATACTTAAATGACAGACAAGCGGACAGTCCAATAGGATAGCGATTGATCATGGAAATCAAAGAATGATCTGTGAAACCTATTGTACCCTTCATTTTTTTTATACCACTGAGGTGGCAAACAAGCATACGGCCCACCTGATGGTAAGTAATTACCGTAGCCTAAATGCGTTACGATATCTGAAGACTTAATGTTATGCATCCGCATATCATTAAGTCTTCAGTCTATCATTAATCCCAATTTCACTGTTATATCCTATCTTTTAAACCTAAGTAAAACCGTGTAAGTAACGCAGATTTACAGTAGAAACATAAAAAGGTTAAAACACTCAATATTCTGGTATAACTGAAATACTTTCTTAGCGGGGGGAAAAGGGATTGTCAGTAATGGAGACTGAGAATCCCATTGCTAACAATATATCCAACCAGGTCGACCTCCTCGCGGTTCCCCCTGGAAACTATCATGGTTGATTCCTGATGAATTCATCATGATGGCCTGTTTTCATTCTCATCTATCACCCTTCACTGGTGCTTCGTCAGCGTATCCCATTAGCGCAGGCGGAGTTACCGTTACCATTCCATTTTCACCTATCAAAAAAAAACTTTCTTAGCTTAGTTTTACACAAGGAAAGTGACAATCAAGCATAGTAGATTATAAAACCACTTTATGCCTCTGGTATTGTAAATTACTATTCGCAAGTAGCAATTTGAAACACCAGAGGCATTACTCGGATGTAGTAACTCCAAAGGTTTCCGCTAGTAACATTTCTCGTATTACAATGAGCATACCAGGAATATCATTATAATCACAGTGTACTCTATGATGATCACGATACTGTTCATGTCTATAGGTAACAGCTACTATTTCCCATAAGGTGGGGCGTCAGGGTGATTGTCATTCTAAGTATCATAAACAATAGCATCACTTGCTAACCGCCGTATTTTGTGACACAAAATTTTTGAATCAGTTGTATATAATGTACCACACGATTTACATTGCGACAGTATATTGAGGTACCATTTTTAAACCAATTTAGCTCCATAAGTGGTTATATTAGCATTAAGGTTAATTAGGGTCAATTATGTATGGATGGTTCTTTAACAGATATTAGATATTCATAATAATACAAAGCTCTGGAATGTAGATCTACACATTTGGGCTGTGTGGTCCCGGCATAGAATTCTTTTCCCGTAGATGTTGTAAGAGGTGACTAAGGGATTTTTTTAATGGGTGATAATGGAGTGGTAACTCCGCCTGAGCTATCGAAATACGCTGGCGGAGCACCGGTGAAGGATGACAGGTGAGAATGAAAGCAGGTTGGTTAGCCCATTGTGACGAATTCCACCAGAATTAACCACGACAGTTTCCAGGGGAAACCGCGTGGAGGTCGACCTGATAGGGTTTATTGCTAGCAATGGGTCAATCAGACCCCGTTACTAACAATTCTTTTTCCCCCTAGTGACTAAGGGAAGGCGAGAGATGGACAGCAGCGTCCCTCTTAAAACATCTCCAAACACTAACTGCAGTTACCAATCCGTCTACTAAGCGTGGTAATTACTAAAAAACCTCCCCAAGGGGGAGGCTTATGTTCACCAGTAGACGGTTAAGGGCCGATATGGTGATGATGATGACCTATTTACTCTTTGGAGTCGTAAAGCAATTCAGTGTACAGATGCATGATTTTAATATTACTAGACTACATTCTACTTTTTATTTACAAGACTGATACATTGCAAAAAAATTAATTGATAGTTTTCTTTACCTAATAAAACTCCATAATCACCTTGCGAAATATAACTTTACAGGTTCGTTATCACAATCATAGAGACCTACTAGATAAAGAAAGTAGACGATTTATGGTGAAATAATTATGGTATTAGTGAATCTTACTTGTGGTACCACTGGTAAGAGGGCGCTGGGTTTCCATCGGCTTTGCACTCCAACGTGACTTGTGAGAACAAATTTGCTTCCACCACGGTATCTGGACCGACCCATGTCACTCGCGGTGGATCTAAAATCGAATAATACCAAGTTATTGAATAAATTAGGCCAGTTATAGAAACATTTGTATCTACATATCTACAAAAAGGCAACCATTAGTCCATTCGTATAAAATTATTTCTTATAATTATTTTTTCAATCAAACTGTTTATGACTACTTCTCCGACTCCAACGGTTGCTAAATAAAGAGTATTTAAAGAAGTTTTTTTTTATTTCGATTTTTGAAATTTTTAAAATGATAAGTAACCCGACAGTCTATTTAGTCCTTCAGAATTTGCATTTAATATAAATACTACAAACAATGCTGGATTTTCGAATTACCTAGTTCTTTAAATAACGTTATCTTCTTACTGCCTACCTCTTGTACAGTAATTTAGTAACAAAGAACACTTACATTTAATATCAATCTCTATTTTCACTGAATCCGAAGTTCCCAATGAGTTTCTTGCTTGACAACCGTAAATTCCTGTAACAAAGAGTCATTAATTAAATAATTTAAAATTTTGTTCAACAAAGTTACTTCAATCGTGCAACATTTCCATGGAATACTGTTGAGGAAGACAAAACTTTTTATTGGAGGTATGAAGTAACTTCTAGAAGTAAATCTTATGAAACATGGTAGAAATTTAAGAAAATTTAATATGGGGATTTTAATAAGAGCAACAGGTGCCAAAATAGTTATTTATTTAATTAATATATTTATTTAATATTTTTTTTTTACATTTCGTTTGTCCGTCTGAATGTTTGTTTGTTCTACAATCACGCAAATCTATTGTGTAAAAACTGGTGAACGTTATATCTTATTATGCCACTTAAAAATGGTATATATCATTGGTTTTTCTACTTCTAAAATCCACGCATACAAAGTAGCGGGCAAAAAGCTAGTTTTTCTCGTAAGTCAACTGATATTTGTCGACTGTTGTTGTATTTGTGTCTACATTTCGTCGAGTATATTAAATTTTTTTTTTAAATGGGTGAAAATGGTATGGTAACCCCGCCTGCGCTAACGGGATACGCTGGCGGAGCACCAGTGAAGGGTGATGAGAATGAAAACAAGCCAGTTAGCCCATCATGATGAATTTATCAGGAATTAACCATGATAGTTTCCAGGGAGAACCGCGAGGAGGTCGACCTGGTTGGGTATATTGCTAGCAATAGAATTCTCAGTCTCTATTACTAACAATCCCTTTCCCCCCTATATTAACATATTAGAATCCAAAAAAGGAGCGAGCTTCGAAAATTATTTTATCGAAAATTTAATCGGAAATTCAAATTAACACAGTTTCTATATTGTTAACAAATGCTTACTAAAATTTTTTAATCTTCCCACGACGTCCCAAATGAATATTTACCTGTATGGTTCCTCGATACAGGTGCCAAGATGAGTTTAGGTCCATTAGTAGCTATGACCTGTCCGTTCCTGGTCCACCACACATATGGCTTAGGGTTCCCATCGGCTCTGCACTCCAAAGTGAGTGCGCTGGAGCCTTCTTCCAGGCTCGCTAATACGCTGGGATCAGCGCCATTTATAGACACTACTGGAGCGACTGAAATTTGATAAGTCGAATTATATAACGTTATTATTGAATGAATGAATGAATGAATGAATGGTTTATTTTCTCTTCACAAAAGATAGTATAACGTGACAACTTAAGGTACAATTAGATATGTAAGATCAATTTTGTGAGAGACTGAATGTAGATTATTATAGAGTACTCGTAAGTGCCATATGATTCGATGGGCCATCCTTTTCCTCTTTCGTGGGTACTGTAAGAGGCGACTAGGTGAACTTAATGGTCCAAGGATGGGCAACAGCGTCCCTATTAAAACATCACCAAAACTTAACTGTGGTTGTCAACCCGCTTATCAAGCGTGGCAACTATTAGCAGAACCCCTCTTATAAAAGAAGTCTATATTCGGCAGTTTTCTGCATACTAAGAAATACGCATGTGATATTACAGAACAATAAGAAGGAATATGAATAAAATTTAGTTTAAGGAACAAAATTGATACTTTCAACAGATCTATAATTCATACTAATATTACAAATTAATGTGAAAGTAAATTTGTTTGTTCAGTACCTGAACTAATCACTATGAAATTTGGCACACATGTTACTATATATAATGGGAGGGAGACTTTGTACAAAAGTCGATTGTTTGGGTACCTCTGTCCCATTCGTGTTTCTACCGTGAAGCAGTTGTGTTTGCATGGCTGTGTTTCGGTTTGAAGGGTGGGATATGGCTTGAATTTACTGGGTACAGAGGAATAACACCTGAGTCCTCAGGAATGGCAACGCATGGGGGGTATCATGGGCGAAACAGTATACTCTGTTATGTCCATGGTACTGCTCATGTCTATAGGCGATGGTTACCACTTTCCATCAGGTGGACCGTCAGCTTGTTTGCCATTCTAAGTTGTATAAAAAAAATGGAGAAACACATAGGCTACTTCTTATCCCAATCACGCATACAAAGTCGCGGGTAAATAAACTCAAACTATATTTATATATATTTCCCGTGATATAATATTATGTAAGTATAATAGATCTTTTATATATTTAATTATCACACACAGAACCTCTGATAAAAAAAAAACCTCTAAAATATGCTCTCAAACTTTGTATGTCTGCGTTAAACCATAATTCTTTATATGCGAAATACAAGGGAAAAACCCGAACCATTAGGAATGGGATTAAACCATTAGCATTGGGATTTTCAAATACCCTATATTAAAAAAATCTAATATAATGTTTCCATAGAAATGCTTCGAGAAAAACGGCTCAACTTTTTCATACTTATTATAATAAATAGTTATGAGTAATTCCTTTATAACTTTTATATTTATTATTTTGTCTTACAATTTCTACATCTTTTTAATGCGTAAATACTCATTTTATTTATTAAATAATACACCAAGATACATTTTATGCGTAATTGTATAGAACACTTTATTTGACAATTAGTTGACAAAACGTTGACCTGTTTTTGAGGCTCGATGCTCTATTTAAATATTCTAATATGATATAGGTAGTAAAACTTACACGTCACGTCGAGCATAGTGAAAGAGTCCCGGTAGTAAGGCGCCGGGTACGAGGGGTGGTGCGCTCGGCACGCCAGCTGGCGGCCGTGCGCCGACCTGGTGGCGCCCAGTTCTAGGACCGACCGCGCCGCCCACACCCTCGGCCGTTCCACCTCCGATGCGTTCGTTTGGCTCCACGCTGTTAATCTTTCCTTTTCTGAAATTTTTTATTAAATGTATTAATTATATATTGATTTTTACGTCTAAGGTCAAACATAAATCGACAACATCATTTAAAGGGAGTGTTTTACTAGCGAAATTTAATATTTTCACCAAAGAAACATTAAATCGTGAAACATGAATAAAAATGCAAACAAAAATAAATTGTAGAACGTTCTATACTAACACGGCGCATTCTGCAGTTGAAAATATATGTATACCTATATGCAATTCTCAAATGAACAATTAACAGCTGATATTATGATGATGCTGATTATTTTTAATTAATGAAATGTCCTAATATACGAATGGGATATGGCGTGAATTTACAGGGTACAGAGGAATAACACCTGAGTCCTTAGAAATGGCAACAGATGGGGGGTATCATGGGCGAAACAGTACACTCTGTTATGTCCATGGTACTGCTCATGTCTATAGGCGACGGTTACCACTTTCCATCAGGTGGGCCGTCAGCTTGTTTGCCATTCTAAGTTGTATAAAAAAAATATCCGAAGAACACAGATTGAAACGAAACAATAATCTTTTTTTTTCTTTACTTCCCATTTAAACATCGAAATAAAATTTGTTTATCTTAAATTCGCTATTTTCTTATCGCGCTATTCCAAATTTACCATTATCTACTCCATATTCATTACGCTACATTACGCACCCATAATTATACCACCAAAACTATTATATCAAATCCATTATAGTAATCAATCTTACGTGAGTAAGTAATAAGTAAAAGAAATAAACCTACTAACATTAAGTAAATCCTTAGAGAATTCAATATTTCATTAGACAAAAACTTTGTAGCGCCTAATGTAACTATAATAGCAAATATGTTCAATATTTACTATTATAGTTGTGCTAGGCGCTTCGATAGTTACTGAGTTAGAGACAGCTATTTTCATATTCGCCTCCAGACCCTTACGGTCTGAATGGAGTAAAACGATTTTCAAATGTTTCTATTGTTACATAAATCTCTCATTTCTTATATTATCATAACTTGTCGTATGCATTACTTAATTTTAAACTTTCGCATTGTTTACAATTGTTTTAGACACTATAGAGCAGTGATTCTCAACCACTGTGCCGCGGCACTTTTGTGTGCCGCCAAATTTTAAAAGTGTGCCGCCAAATTTTGCAATATTTAAAATTTTTGTCATAAACTATTTATGCAGTGTGTTGTAGTAAGTAAATAATTTTTATCTTTTTCTTTGTGTGCCGCCAAATTTTGAAATCGTTAAATATATGCCGCAACAAAAGAAGGTTGAGAATCACTGCTATAAAGACTTAACGCGATGGTGTGTGCACAAAATGTAGCCATTTCTCTTACCTAAATACCACTCGATATACGCAGGCGGGTTCCCATATCTGGCCTCACAGACGACCGTGGCTCTTGAGCCAGCCGGCACTGTGATATTTTGTCCTGGCATCACATGCGACCCATTGAAGAGTATTCTGGGTGATTGCGGAGGCACACGGACTGCCAATGCCGCGGGAGGACTGGAGAGGGCGTCCTAAAAATATAAAAAGTGACATATTTAAACAACTATTTATGAACTCTTGAGTATATTTCATGTTTTAATTATGACCACAAAAGTTTAATGATATTTAGGAACAGAATAAGAAATACGATCGCAAACATTTTTAATCAGATTTTTGCCATTTATTATTATATATTTTAATTTTATTTTTTATCGCTAACTTTGGAATATTGGTATTTTTTTTTTACAACACAGGGGGCAAACGAGCATGCGGCTCACCTGATGGTAAGTGACTACCGCCGCTGTACGGTGCGGTACGTTGTACGGTGGTGAAAATCAGCAGCAGGTATCAGTCCGAACAATTCCTCAGAATACTCCCCATGATAAATTCGGTAGAAGATGCACAGAGATGCAACATCTCTGCGCAATTTCAGTGGGTCAAGTCAGACAGTAAGTAAGTATCTATTGAGCGTATAATAATTTAGAAATTCAGATATTTGATTGCATTTTAGTGTATATACCTGCACATCATAATTGCTGGCCGTAACTTGACATTGCCATTGGCCATCGTCTAACTGCAGCGTCGCTGCGCGGACCCACAGCGAGCAATCTCCTCCTACAGGACTATTCTCGTTGGCCCACTCATATTTCCCGCGGTATATACCCACAGGCTGAAACAATAAAGAAAGAGATATCAAAACGCTGGCATATTAGAGTAATTTAAAAAAAATATTCACAAAAAAAGCATACTTTAATCGTAACAAAATGACTATGTGGCAAAGAATAAATCATCCAGGTAATAAATCCTCCTTATTACAAAAAAAGAATCTCAAAATCGATATAAAATGGGCAAAAGTATCGCGTAACGTACATACAAAATTCTCGAATTTATGAAATCGGTTAAAAACATGTATATACGAGGTTTGTCCGGAAAGTACGTATAAAAGTTTTTTAAAAATTTTATTTTACAATTATTCAGGTAAATCAATTTTATCCCCTTCAAAGTACTCCCCCTGTGACATAATGTACTTGTGCCAACGCCGTTTCCACTGTGAAAGGCTCCTTGAAAGTCTCTGGTTGTAGGTTTCTCAAATCATTTATGTCCCCCAAATGCCGCCCCCGAAGTACCAATTTGGTTTTTGGGAACAAGAAGAAGTCACACGGGGCCAAATCCGGCGATTAGGGGGGGTGTTCGGTCACCGTAATGGAATTTTTACTCAAAAACTCACGGACAACAAGAGAGGTGTGGGCAGGGGCATTGTCGTGGTGAAGAATCCAACGCCCCTCTCGCGCCAATTCTGGACGAACTCGTGCCACACGAAATCGACGTAGAATTTTCCATCAACTGTCTGGCCTGGAACGAATTCTTGATGGACAATCCCCCGAACATCGAAAAAAACAATCAACATTGTCTTGACATTTGAGCGGGATTTTCTTGATTTTTTTGTTCGTGGTTCCCCGGATGTCTTCCATCTTTGCTTTCACGGCCATTCTTGCCGAGTTTCGAGAGAAACTTGATTACGACGCGCTGCTCTTCAACGGAAGCGGGCTCCATGCCGACGGGGTTTCGTTAAGAGGTAACTTCACAGATGGCGTGACAAGCCAGTCGCACCGCACGGCGGTCAGACCAGAACTGAAGCATTGTTAGGGACATAAGGAAGGGGTCCTGCGCTTACCTGGCCTCCCCACTCCTCTTTCTCGCATTCCAGAACACTTTTATACGAACTTTCCGGACAGACCTCGTATGTTTAAACATAAAAATACCCTATGTCATGGAAAACCTGTCTAAAATAATAATAATAAACATAGCTGGCCATATACAATCCCATCAACTGATAGAAATACGTAAATAGTTTTTTTTTTAAATACATTCTTATTATAAATACAAAACGCCTACTCCAATACAAATAGACATACTCATGAATACAAATGCTATAGTGTGCGGGGATCGAACCCGGAATCATCGGAAGGTCCGGTTGTATGTTAAACGGCTACATCACCAAGATCTTCAAAAAGAAGGGGGTTCTCAATTTAGATTTTTTTTTCAAAAAAATAAAACCAAATTTTTAGTTCTAAAACGATTTGATAAATTCTTTTTTTTTTATCTGGTGTGAAGAATTAAATCTAGACCATGGAATAGTTTTGGCTTAACCCAAAATTTCCAGACTCGAGCCATTTAAGTTCGTTATCCGTATACACTGGCTAGATACCAATGAGTAATGATAGGTGAGAATGAAGCAGGTCAGTTGGCCCATCGTGAATTTAATAACAAACCAATCACGATGGTTTCCAGGGGAAACCGCGGGGAAGTCGACCTGGTATGATATATTGCTAGCAATGTGGCACCCATTAAAATCCATCATTTACAAGCCTTCTCCCCCCTAATTCTTACACTTCTATATAAGTAAGTAGGTAATATTATAATTTTATAAATGTGAAAGTTTGGGTGTTTGTAACTCAGTCACGCTTGAACGGATGAATGGATTTTAATGAAAATATTCAACACACGTAAAGATCATTATCCTAGATTAAAACATAGTGTACATTGTACACTAATGTATATTATGATTTAAATATATATAGCTGTATTCCGCGGCTTGGCCCGTCTGAACAAGTGTAAGTATCCTAATAACTAAGTTAGCATGTAACCTACCCATGTACCAAATTTAATTCAAATCCGTTTAGTATTTTTTGTGTGAAAGAGTAACAAACACTCATCCATCGAACCATCCAACGTTACAAACTTTCGTATTTATCATACTAATAGGATAATATTACTTATAATATGAATTTGAATATATAATACTAATATTTATAATATATATAATTATATATATACATATACATACATGAACTATATGCCTATTGGCCACGGTTATCACTTTTCATCAGGCGGGTAGACAGCTTATCTGTCATTCTAAGTTACATTAAAAAAAAATTATGAGAGACTCAAAATTTAATTATGTTTAACAGCATGTGTGGGTCGGTTTGTGGGTGAACTAAAACCTTCTATAAATGTACTTTAACTATTACACAGTTTTGTCACAATCTTTTAAATTGATAATTTATTCAAAAGAAAAAGATAAACAATGGAATAGCTATAATTAGTTTATGAGAGGATTGACGTTATTATAAAATAATTTTTATTTAAAAAAAAATCAATTTAATTCCCTTGAAAAGGTTTGTTGAAAGAAATCTCTTGTTGGAGATAAGCTCGCTTTTGTACTTTAAATTTAAAATTAATTGGTCCTAACATTTTTTTTTATTTATTTATTTACAAGAAACATGGTAAGTGTATAGATGTTACAATAAGTATAAGTCCCCATATTTCGCCATAATTAGGCATGCAAATATTAAAACTTAAAAAGAATAAATGTTAAATAAGTCATTAAAATTCGAAATGTTGTATAAAAAAAATACATCAAAAATGTCAGATACTTGTCAACAATAAAAAAGGAAGAAATGTCACTGTCAAATCATGGACTATTGATAACAGCTGCATTGTAACACGTTAAGTAATTCAAGTAGGTTGTTTACCTTTTTGTATCAAAAACTCTTGCACACTGTAAAAGGACTCCTCAACAAGCCAATGTTTTAATGAATCTGAAATTTTTTTAAATGGAAGTTCTCGTATACTTTTTGGTATTTTATTATAAATTTTAATTGTCATTATGTTCATGTAAATAAAGAAAGAATAAGGAGGTTAGATTGACACACCGTAAAGATTTTAATTTCAATCTGTATTATTTCTGTATAAAACTAATATATTGTAATAGGTATTTCTTTAAATTTAGAAACACACTCGTCACACGATCAATCATAATAATTTATTAAACTTGTTGGGCACGACTGTTAACTTTGAGCTTTACATCAAAGTTAAAACTAACCGCCCGCTTTGAAGTAATCTGCAACTTTAAACACGAGATTCAGCCTGAATTTGGATACGGTCCAAATACGCCCTAATCTATTAACAAGTACTGGTTATTAGTGTTGCCTAATAATCGATTATCGATTAATCGATAGTATTCATCTAAAATTGCCATGTGAGTCCGGCATAGGCCTCCCTTTCCTTTCGCGTGAGTATCGTAACTACTAGGAAACCTACCCTCAAAATAGAGGGAAGTCTGTGATCAGCAGTGAAGTGGTATATCATACCATTTCAGCCGTTAATTGTCAGTATTCGTCTAGAATAATCTAAACATTAAAGTAATATAAGAAAACGTGAAGAGTTCAGTTGTATAAATATTTATATTAATACTATTGATTAAAAAGTTATGTTCTAACAATTAATTGTGGAATACTATTGATGTTACCGGTTATGCCGATAGTCAGACAGAATAAAAAAAATCATAATAACTCATGCTAAAGGTAATAAATACACATAAAGTATAGTATGGATCAAATTGTACAGTCATAAGACATTAATCAATCGAAAGTATAAGATACTTTGTCAGTTATAAACGATTACGAAAAGTTAATATAATTTTCATTATAATTAAATATTTTTACAAATAATCAGGTGTAATATTTTGTAACTGAAGTAATATATAAAATTACACTAATTAAGTCATCATATCATCATTATACCAGTCTTTAACTGTCCACTGCTGGACATAAGTCTTCCCCTAGGGAGGGTTTTGCAAGTGGTTGCCACGCTAGGTAGGCGGATTGGCAATCGCAGTTAGGCTTTGGATATGTTTTAAAAGGGACGTTCCTACCAATCCCTCGTCTTCCCTTAGTCGCCTCTTACGACGCCCACCGGTAAGGAAGAGATGACTTATTCTATGCCGGGACTACACTAATTAAGGAATATTACAAAAAAAATACATATTTCACTAATAAAATACAAAAGGCGCTCTTATCGCTAAAGCAATTACTCCTTTAGGTACAAGTGAAAACAAAAAATGCAGTAACTACTTGCATATTGTCGATTATAGAATCGATTGTTATCAAATAATCTAATTCGATATTCCAATTAACCGATTCATTAATAATCGATACTAAACGATTATTAGGCATTCCTAATTAGTATATTAAGACCAATATGTACTCGAGTAAAGCGTTGATAAAATACATGCCGATGGTAACGATCCGTCTTTAGATAATTTATCGTAAACTAGAGAAAATCGTCATTAGGGATAGAAATCGTTGATATATCTAATTAATAGCTCACAAATAAATAACATTACTTTGGCCTTTGGGAGATTGATTAGATGGAATGCGATATTAGATACTCATATCGTATATCAGAGTGACCTTGCCATTAGGTTCTTGTTATTTATGATCGGTTTTTCTATACGCACACCATAATAATATACTACGCTTGTTTCTTTAAGAGAGAAGGTTACTGATTCTACTGTATGTTTTTGTAGGTATGTTACGCAATATCTTCTAAAATTATAAGTTTATTATAATAATTATATTTTATCGACAAACTTTATTCACGTGTGTGAAGAATTTTGTAATAATTTAAATCTGGTTTTTTTTTAATAAAAAACTATTGCAAATCGACTTAACAAGATGTAAGCTCATTGCTAGCATTTTTTTAATGCCTGATAAGGGAATGGTAATCCCGCCTGCGCTAACGGTATACACTGGCGGAGTACCAGTGAGGGATATTAGGTGAGAATGAAAAAGCAGGTCAGTTGGCCCATTATGATAAATACACGTGGAATTCAGCATGATGGTTTCCAGGGGAATCACGTAGAGGTCGACCTGACAGGGTATTCTGTTAGCAACAGGACTAGTAGTTAGCATTATTACCAACGCTTCCTTCCCCCTCAATTGCTAACATTATACCATGGCACTTCCTGGAAAATATTAACTCCTAGTGAATTTGTCACTATAAGCCAATTGATCTAAACTTCATTCTCGGAAGAAATAGATTGTTAGTAATAGGAATCTAACAGTCATATTGCTAGCAATATGCCTTTTTAGGTCGATTTCCACGCCATTCTCCCTGGAAACTATCTTGGTTAATTTTTTATTAATTCGCCACTATGGACCGACTTCCTTACTGGTGCCCCGCCAGCGTATACGAACAGCGCAGGTGAGGTTACCATTTCATTATCACCCATTAAAAAAACTTCACTCTCAGTCCACATCCACCAGAGGGAGACTTTGTAGAAAAGTCGATTGCATGGGTACCTCTGTCCCATTCGTGTTTCAACCGTGAAGCAGTCGTGTTTGCATAGCTGTGTTTTGGTTTGAAGGGTGGGATATGGCGTGAATTTACAGGGTACAGAGGAATAACATCTGAGTCCTCAGGAATGGCAACGCATGGGGGGTATCATGGGCGAAACAGTATACTCTGTTATGTCCATGGTACTGCTCATGTTTATAGGCAACGGTTACCACTTTCCATCAGGTGGGCCATCAGCTTGTTTGCCATTCTAAGTTGTATTAAAAAAAAATAGCGCAAAAAGGTTTGTTATTCGACTTTTATCCGTTTGAAAAAACCATCCACATTTTGATATTTTTTTAGATAACCGTCATTATTAAAAACACAAAGTTTCGACAACGGTACTGCACGACGTATTAACAAATTCAAGCGAAACGTCTTCCAAATGGCACGCTCCATTGATTCTAAACAAGTAATGAACAATTTGAGGTTGTTACATCAATTGGACCACCTGTGCAAAACCACTCAATTAGTAATGCGACGAATCAAGCTGACTCGATTACTGACTTCAATACCAGCTGAGTACTAGGGTATTCGATTACTCAATATATTAAACTCAGGTACATAATATTCGAATACGATTTTGAGTACCTAATGTAATCGAATATTACTCGTGTAATTCAAATTTTCCATTTCTGTTTCAACATTTTTAATAATATTTTCTGTAATTACTAAAAAAAATTTTTAGATTATTGAACATTCATTTCTTTCATAAAAGTGAACTTCGGAAATTATTTGTAACAGTGCTCAAATTGATAAAGTACTCCAGTCAAATCGAAACCAGATCAAGTATTTGAATACTTGTCCGCGTCCTCAGACTCGAATCAGGATTCGATAATTTTTTTAACGTATACCAAAATAGTCGAATACTAAAAGGTTGACTTGACACATCACTATGCAAAACCATTCAAACGTGGGAAGCCCCACAGTGCCCCCCGATACATTTCACAGTTAACTGCGTAATATGTCGTAAACTTGTAATTTTGTCAATAAACTTCTTGAACCTACTCGCGTCATTACTTTCCTTTGCCTAATGTCCTGTCTGTTATTTGAAGCAAAATATAATCATACACCGTGTTAAGGAAACGCTTTTGAAGATGAATTGTAAAATAACGTAGGTAGGTTCGATATAAACGCAAACCGACCGTGCCGCGATAAATTATAAAATTGCCCATCGGATAAAGGGTGAAAACAAAATATACACTTGTATAAAGACGATTTTAAATTTCCGGGACGATATCATGGGATATATTATACATCATTAATAATTCATATAATATTAATAATATATAATATTAATAATAGATATAATATATCATTTAATAATTTTCATACCATAACAATAAATCAATCACAATGATTTCCAGGGGGAACCACGAGGAGGTCGACCTGACAGGGTATATTGCTATCAATGTGGCTACTAATCCTCATTACTAACAATCCCTTCTCCCCCATAATCTTATTATATTATTTCGTGACAATAATTTCTATGCTACACTAAATTACAATACCGCTCAAGTAACCACTTATCTCAATTTTCCCTTCTAAGATTTAAGAAATAATACGCATGAAATTAAGAAAAACAACTTACAAGTGTATACTATATACTATATACATACACTAGCTCTTTATCAGAAATTCCGTTAAATATTAAATATGAATAAACCTAAATTTCAATTGATACTAGTTTTGAGATACGCTGTTAAGTATTAGTAGCTCTTAGTGATGAAAGCTAGTATACCAACGCGTGTTACCATTAAAAAAGTATGGGATCGAAACAAGCCGTATGAAAAAGCTTCAAGTGGCTCAGCCAGTAAGGAGGAACGTTCAGAATTTCCCTGTGTGATAAAAACTGAAAACTATCGGCCAAAAGAAAATAGTGGCCAATATGAACCGAAAGGATTGAGCATGAAGTTAGCCGTAAAGTTCAAAGAACTGCTGAATACTGGGGATGAAGAATTCTTTAATTTTGACCCCTCACAAGCAAACGGACTATAAAGCAAACTACTCACTAGATGGAGCAACTAATGATGCCCACAAATAAGTTACAAGTATATGAAGAATTAATGAATTACAAATAATCAACAAAAAAACTCTGGAAAATTCCATATAATATTACGGGTAAGTTCTTTATACAAAAGTGGGAAATAACTGTTCAAATCTCAAAGAATTATTGAAAGGAAACTTTAAAAGTCATGTGCATTGTACTTCCATTCTACACGTGTTTCTCCCGCCAACCAACTTTATTTGATCGTGAAGCTATGTTTGAATTTGAAGGGATATGCAGTGAAATTTATAATGTACTAGACAATCTCCTGTATTAATGATTATGACAGTGATTTTATTTTTATACAACTTAGAATGGCAAACAAGCTGACGGCCCACCTGATGGAAAGTGGTAACCGTCGCCTATAGACATGTGCAGTACCATGGACATAACAGAGTTTACTGTTTCGCCCATGATACCCTCCATGCGTTGCCATTCCTGAGGACTCAGATGTTATTCCTCTGTACCCTGTAAATTCACGCCATAATATCCCACCCTTCAAACCGAAACACAGCCATGCAAACACAACTGCTTCACGGTAGAAACACGAATATTAACTACAGAGGATTAAATTGTTTATTCGTGTTTATAGCTGAAGGCCACCACTTTCAACCAAGAAGGACTCTTATGCTGTTCCAAATTAAATAAAAAAATGAATCCATATACTACCAACACATTTTAACCGTCCGCACAGTTTCGCCTTCGGAACGAGCACGTAGCGTGACGAGCTCGTTTTCGGGAGCACAAACAAACAAAACAGAGACAGTTCTCTGATTAATACCGATAGAAAACAATACCGGCGCAATATCCGGCGGGGCGGGGCGCGGCTCGTGTGCGCGCCCGCTCCATATATCGACACTGGAAAGACAAAATGTATTAAGCGCCATTTAGTAAATTTTACAGGAGAGCCAAAAAATAAACGAAAAAACAAAATGAAAGCTAATATAAACTATTTCAACAGATCTTCAGGAAAAAATAATAATGTTTTGTTGAAATTTTCCCTGAAACCCTGAAATTGAAATTATGAATGAAATTAATGAGAATCGAAAAATTTTATGGGCAGCAACCCTTTTAACACGTCATCAAGCCTAACTGCAGTTGCCGGGGGGAAGTGATTGTTAGTGATGGGGAGATTAGTCTCCATTGCTATCAATATACCCCATCGGGTCGACCTCCACGTGGTTCCCCCTGGAAACTATCGTGACTAATTTATCGTTGAATTCTTCATGATGAATCAACTGACCTGCATTTTTATCCTCACCTATCACCCATCACTGGAACCCCGTGTGTATCGATAGCGTAAGCTGGGTATTATATTATCATACCATTTTCACCCATTAAAAAAAACTGCAGTTGCTAACCCGCCTGCAAAGCGTGGCAAACTTAGGCTTATGTTCAACAGTGGGCAATTAACGATTGATATGATGATGATAATAATAAGTAACATAATAAATATATTAATCAAAATTAATTCTCTGATTAAATAAATTAATTCAGTACAGACAAAAAAAAAAAAACAAAATTCAATATTCTTTATCGAATAAATTGGTATTTAATACGTTTTGCCTTTCCAGCGTCGATATAATACGCGCCCGTGAGCGGTTGCTTTATGAACCGTGTTTAACATCTGTTGAATGGATTTCGTTTTCTACTAGTTTGGTTAATAATAGTCCGCAAAACCTAAAAAATCAGAAGCGAGACGGATAGAAATAGAAACCATGTTTCGCATATTTGTACCGGCCAGCCATAACTGGCATTCAGAAATAGTTCTGCTTCATGTTTCTACGTATTTGTACAGAACTTTTCTTGAGCAATGGAAAAGGGGAATTTTATACTTAACTTACACGTAAGGTATGCACCTGTCCCATCTATCTATAATATATATATTTCATATACTTATTTCAGAAGTGGATAGGGGCGGGTATATCGAGTCCACCCCATAATACGGGCAGTGCTTTCAACTACTCGCAGCCTTACAATATACGAGTATATAGGCTTTTTTTGAGGGCCCAAAAATATCAAATGAAAAATACTTTTAAATATTCCAATGCCTATTTTATTTCATGTGAGGAGTACAGATCGTAGAAAGAGAATGCTATATTTCCTATCCTTATCCCAATTATTATTTGGGGTCGGCGTAATATGGTTTTATCCATATTACAAAAATATTTGGCTTATAGTTTTACGACCGGCCGCTTGCCTGACGTCAACCCTCTTTGAGAATGCATTTCTTGGTGGTTTCTGCCACCTACGATATGGAGGAAAGGATTGAGGAAAAAAGGAACAGTGCTATATACAGTACTGTATTTAATCTATGATTAGGAGTAATACTAATATTGATTGTCAGGTTACACAAATTATGGGACTTGCGTCACATTACTGTACGTAATTATTGATTCACAAAATGTCATAGAGTTTTTTTAATGGCTTTATGGCTTTGTATAGTTAGTTTTATTATAATAAATAATCTACTTGATTGATAGTGAGGTGAAAAATTTTTACACGCAACCAAAGGGACTCTTATCTTAAAATCCCTTAGTACATGCTCAAATTTAAAACTCAACCTTCGCTGCCCTGTATGGCCAACGTAGTGTGAGACGAACCACCATTGAATATAACGTGACCTCAAATACTTTCCTTATAATAATTAGATGCGGATTATTTAAAAGCCTAACGCGCTTGCTAGGCATGTTGGCAACCGCAGTTAGGCTTTGGAAATATTTTAAGAGGGACGCTACTGCCCATCCCTTACCCTCCCTTAGTCGACTTTTACGACAACCACGGGAAAAGAAGGGGTGGCCTATTCTATGCCGAGACTTTTTATTTCTTATGCAGTGTATGAAAGAGACCTTAACCCGCTTTCCAGGCGTGGCAACTGCTGGCAAACTCAGGTCTATATTCAGCAGTGGACAGTTAACGGCTGTATTCAGTAACTGATAATCAACAAATGAAATGGTGGAAATTAAAGTGATTACTTATTCAGCCACCAGAACGATTAAAAAACAAGAACCAACTATTTTTTCTTTTAGTATATTTTCAAATTTCATTTTAAAAATCAATAATCTATAACACCTATTAAAGGTAACTTCTTATAGTCATGTAAACAATAAATCAGACCTCTGTTTCCTAGAGAGAACGGACCCACGTGCAATAGATCTCATTGCAAACAGGGATAACCAGCAACAAACCAACCAAGCTATATTTCATGCTATACTCGGTGGAGTAGGTCTTAAAATAAATAATTTATTGAGATGAAATATATTTCAGATTTTAAATTAAGAACCCAACCTTGCTATGAAACGTGACGTCGTTTAAAATTCATAATTTGTTATGGATCACAGATCTTAAAAGAATGTAAAAAAATTGATTCGATCATTAGACATTTTACCGATTAATCAATTGATGTATTTATTCATTTATTTTTTATTGGGCACACTACAAATAAAGAATGTGTCCCACAAAAGAAAGTTCCTTCAAACATGGAAAAACCAGTTATTTTAATTTAAAAACTAAACTAAACTAGAAATGATTTTGATAATATTTCTGTAAATATAACTGTTCTGTAAATAAGTTCTGTAAGAAAAAAAAAAAGAATTTATCCAAATTGGTTTCAGAATTGACTGAGCTATGAGGTAACTAACATAAAAAAAATACACCTTCTTTTGAAGTCGATTGAAAAATATTTGGAACAAAAGGCGACTTAATGTTAATTTTTCGAATCGGTTTATAAATTACAAAATTCTGAGGTAAGAAACATACAAACATCTTAATTATACAATATTATTATACCTGCTTGTACACCAACTAGTCCATTCCCCTAAGGTAGTCTCAAAAAGATTGCTTTCAGCAATAAGACCGCCTTACTACTTATACAACTGTATCGTTACATTTATTAATTGTCTTGCTTATTTGCTATATTGTATAATGCAAATAAAGTATTCGTTTAAAGTATACTCTTCCTTTTTAAAGTCGGTTAAAATGATGGCACAACGCACAACAAGGATGGGCTCTTAAGTTATTGACTATACAACATTCTTCATTTAAATGGAATCTATGTGCAGCTGCCATTGCGTAATAACAAACAAACAGACAGAATGCAAACACCATCAACTTTTGCTTATTTATAATATCCGTAGCATGTTTCCGTGAAAGTATTCCCAATGTGCATTTCTTTTTCCGTTACAATTTTATTATAGTTTACGTTAACGTTTCAACCGACTTCAGAAAGAACAAGGTTCCCAATTCGGCTGTATTTTTTTATGTTTGTTACGTCCTATCGATAATGGAAACGATTTGTAAATTTCTTTTTTATCTGAATGGATTTGATTCTCTTTTTTTTCTCACTTTCCCTTTAAACTTAACCTTGCTGGTTACTCTGCTCGAGTCATAGTTTCATTTGCTCTTCTTATACACTATAATTGTTATAGTAATATGTATGTATTTATTTATGTATGTATATTTTTTTTTATTTAATATATTATCTGTATGAGTATATTAGTCTAATTATATATTTCGGCCATCCCTTCCTGTCCCTTGGGTGTCGAAAGAGGTGGCTAAGGGAGGGCGAGGGATGTGTAGCAGAGTCCCTCTTGAAACATCTCCAAAGCCTAACTGCGGTTGCTAACCCACCTGCCAAGCATGGCAACTACTAGCAAAACCCCCTAAGGGGGAGGCTTATGTTCAGCAATAGACAGTCAAATGCTGATATAATAATGAATTGCCTTAAACTTTAAATAGAATCGCGATATATATGATATTATTTAAATAGATACAAAAGAATAATCCAACTGCATACAGACATTGACAAATACTAAAATTAGTCGTTATACAAATTGACACAACACTACCAATCCAACCCTCTTATTCATCTGTGCTTTAATCTCTATGCAAATACCCATATTTCACTACCTATTCACCATACAACACGGTAATATATCATTATTTTCACCTTGCATCATGCACGGTACGGTACATACGCTAATACTGAACGGCGCACTCACAAATTACCCGCTTTCATATGCCTATGATTAGTGATGTGCCGACTCGATCCTTTTTAGTAATGGATTATTAAGAT